AATGAGAAGTATCCAATAGGGAGTAACTTACCAGGGCTTCTCTCTATGCGAAATTCACTTTTATCAGGTTTTTCTGAAGCTTAATTATCTCTGTTTATTTTGTCAGCAGCAGATTGAGTACAGTATTGTGGATGTTTGTTTTTGTTACTGTAGATAATGGGGTTGAACACAGGGGGTAGATGCAGATATACATTGACCATCATCAGTTGGACCACCTTGGGGGCTGATCAACCATAGCAGTGTACCAAGGACAGGATCACCATGGAAATGTAGAAAATAGAAACTGCTCCAATGTGGGAGACCCAAGTGCTAAAAACTTCGTGCCACTCTTCAGAGGAGGGAATACTCAAGACAGAGGGAATGATCACAGTGTAAGAGAGGATGATGCACAGTGTATCTATCCTTGTGGTCAAGATCAGACCAATTAATCCACAGATGCTATTGATCTGAGTATCTGAACATGTTAATTTAATCACATCTGGATGGTAATAGTACAAATGGGAAAGGGCATTAGCACTACAGAAAGAGGATGCTTAAAGAGCAAGAATGTTAGTATTGTTAATACTACAGTACATGTAATCATCAAGAGACCCATATGAATGATTCTGGAATTAGTGAGGATGGTGGTGTACCTTAGAGGTTACAAACTGGCACATAATGGTCAAAGCCCACAGCCACAAGCACCTCAGATTCCATGACAGTGAACCCATGAAGAAAAAGCATCTGAATGATGCAGGTATCTAAACTGATTTCACTTGCATCAAACAAAAGAACATCTAGTGTTGTTGATGTTTGTAGAAACAGTCAAGGCCAGGTCAGTTGCTGACAACCTGAAGAAGAAACAGTACATGGGCTCATGAGTACTCTGTTGGGTGATGATGGCAAACAGGATCCCAGGGAGGGCAACCGCACAGAGACAACAGAATGGAACGGAGAGCCAGGTGTGGACAGAATACAGGCCAGGAATAATGGTCAAGAAGAAGGTTTGAAATTGAGATGTCAAGTTGCTTAGAAACTTCATGTTGTCCTTGTGGTGTAGCATTAGTCTTCACATACTATAGAAATCATAAATTAACTTATTATTCAATAATATCCAGATAACTTTTCTTTTGGTAAGGAGAGTCACACAAGGTCATAGGTGAACTCTCTATCACTGAGAAAACTTGAAATCAAACTCTAATATTAACCTATTGTTTATAATCAGGGATATTTAATAAGTATATAAGTATTTTTCATTCTTATTTTTAAGGAAAATATGTTCATCTGATTTTACACCTTTGATGATAATTATTTTTTATATCGTCAGAATTCCAAATTCTTCAATCAGCTCAGAAGAGCCTATGAATAAAGACTTAGTTTAAAAAAAAAATCAATGCGTTCAATTTTAAATATCTTGTGTGTGAAATATCTAGAGG